CAAGAGCAAGGCTTTCCCGAACTCTTGTCTTCTTGAGATGTTTTCAAAGGGCTCCATCATCCAGGTCTAAGTCCAACACATTGGACCACTCCGGGCCCCTTTCACAGGGTTAATTCTCCTTCCAGTCTTTCTTCCAAAATCCTTTTCCTTCCCTTTCTGCCTCTTGAAGGAAAGCCATTTTCCCAAGCTCTTTCCATGAATCAGCCTAAACACGGTTAGAGGAAGGGTCACAAGACTTGGGCAGGGAGCCAGGAAGGAGCAGGCAGCAGAGGAAGGGGCCCATCTAGAGCTGTTTCCATGAGGTAAAAGTAGCCCAAAAGTGAGGCAGGAATCGAGAATCTTGTCTAGTTCTTATAAGGCATCTTTCTCCATGTTTGAAAAATTGTCTAAGGGTCACATAGCATACACTGCCTTACGCATCCTTACAGTCTTTAAATGGGATTAAACAGAACCAGTCAGAGCACTGAAGGGACAGCTTCAATGCTGCCCAGAGGCAAAGAAATGTACAGGGAGGCCTTGGCATTGCTGGCTACTAAGTAGCAGTACCAGCAAAGTCTATTCCAAGAAATGCCACAGCTGGTATTAAACACTTCCTCCTTTATCCCTTGCAGAGCATCTCAGACATCCCAGAACCTGCTAATGGGATGCTGCGACTTACTGGATTGTTGGCCTTGGGCAAGTTTTCCAACCTCTCTGAGTGTCAGGCGCCATCTGTAGAATGGGGGTAACGGTAACTTCCTAGCAGGGCTTCGGGGTGCATAGTTACCCGGTGTCAGGACCTGAATAAACATCAAGATAAAGGAGAAGTGTGATGGCTGTAAGGAGTTACTCAGGTTGTAAGGTGTTTTCTAGCTGGACGACAGGATGCTAATGTGCGTGAGATATAGGTAAGTATGAAACAGAAAACATGGGGGAAATGGACATGAAGAAGCTTTAAAGGGTGAGAAGTCAGATCGTTTACATGCTACATGATCAAGGTGTTGAAAAATTAATCATGTGGTCGGCAATCAGTCCTCATTTATTTCTCCTAAAGTCGTTACGTGTCTTCTTCTAGCTTCTCTTTGTGGAATTCTCACTGAGAACAAATCTACTATGATGGAAACTCTCTAAGGCGGTGACAACATGAGACATGTGAAATGGATGTTCTGCAACACTTGAATTGAGACCAGAATCCATTGTGCTAATTAGTTATCGGCATCTTTGCGTAATTACACATGCTCAAGGGATATGCACTGATTTTGTTAGCCGTCTCGCATGGCTGCTCTAATTCAGATCATTGGTCCAAAGGCCATTTTGATGAGAACAGGCTCTGTGTTTGCAGAGTAGAGATGTCATAACATTGCTGAAGCATCATTACTACCTCTATGATGCTAACTCCGTTTTCCATCTTCAATTTTATTTTGTTCCTAACCTTATATAATAGTCACTTGGTTGTCAAGTGCAGTAAAGACTGGAAAGTAGTTGCCTTAAATCGTATATAGTTCGCCTCCCAAAACAAAAATCAACCATCCCATCAATCTATAACTCTTGAGAAAAATTCTATTTAAACCCATTTAGGATTATTTAACAGCATCTTCTCACGTCCATAAGCAGCTGAGGGAACACAAGATGCACAAGGCTAGAACATCCGTGGGAAAATGTTCAATCTCTCTTTTAACGAAAGACATGGGAAAAACATAAAATCAAGAGGTAATACTTTCAGCCATCAGATTGGAAAAAAATTAAATATGTGATTTAAAAACATAATACCTAGAGGGCGACACTATGGAGAATCAGACACTGCCATACCAGATTGCCCTTCCCTTTTCCCCAGGAATTCATGCTAGGATTTTTAGTATCAGTATTCTTACATAAATTTTTCAAGCTATATGGGCAAGGATGTTTATCATAGCTTGTAACCGCAACAACATATGGAAACAACATTAATTACTACCTATAAAGAGTCATCGAGAGGATATATACACATAGGTGAGATAACATTTGGTAATATTCGCTATTTGGGGAGGGTTCTTTCCTTGAATTTCTCTTTTATCTGGTGCATTGCATGCCTTGCTTCAGGGAACAAGTGGCAGAGTAGACTGCAAATGTCGAACAAGTGGAAAATGTTTGGCTTTTGAGTTTCAGAAAGTTTCAAAAGCCTACACCCTCATATTTAGAAGCATGTGCAATGACTAAGAGAAACTTATCTATCTGCCCCCATAGAGAAAAGCTTCCTGGCTTGGGAGGAGCGAGGGAGTTAGAAGGGGAGGATTATGTGCCCTAGAAGGGAGCTTCCATTTAAGGCTGAATCCAGGGGTGGGAAGTGACAAGAGCTACAGATTATTTTGCTGAGTCTGAGAGAAAAGAAAACTTGTTTCTTAGGTGAATGCCTAGAAATGACCAAACCCTCCCCCGACCCCCCAATTTTGAGAGTATCCTGACATAGTGTTAAAGGAGTAGAGAAGGAGTAGCCACGTGGTGTACCTCAAAGATGAGTCTGCAAAAGCACGCAAGATTTTCCCCAAATCGCGACGTGGCATGGTAATCCCGCTTCTGAGGGTCACATAGACACATTAAGGAGACCTGAAGGATCTAATGGGACTGGAGTGGGAACCTGGGATGATCATCGGGGATGTACATGGATGAGAGATGGGGGACCACATGGGACAGATACATCTCAGCATCTGTCAGCCTCGAAGGACAACAGCTGAGGACGAGACGCTGCACCCATGACCTCTGTTCTACATGAGCCTCATGGAATTCAGCCAAGTGCTGGACAACCCAGAACTGGCAGAGATTAAGTTGTGACCACCTAGGGGAACAGAATCCTGAGATAAAATTCAGTTGAATTAAAGAAAAATAAAGATAACTGAATGTCTTCCTTGCCTGGATGAGTGGAATGAGACAGTCTTTCACTTCTTGTGCCCTGAATTAATGGTATCTACTGAAAACAATGAGGCAAGTATACATGCTGCAATGTGAAAGATCGGCAAGATAAATTTTAAATTACAAAAGGCAAGAGAAAGAACAACTTGAGTGGTATGCGTCCCATTTGCATAAAAACGTTAAATGTTCTAACTGTCCCCGGGATGTGGAAGAAATGATTAACTCTGATTTCCTTGAGAGGCTGAGACTTCATCTGATTTTGTAAAGTCTTTACAATTTTGTAAAGACTTCCTGTAAGCCAAGAGTTTGTACTACCTTTACAATACATATTTATAATACATAATAAAATATCCCCTTTTATCCTTGTGCCATGTTTGGTGATCCATTACATTTTATTAGAATTCCATTAACGTAGCATTGATTTAGATAATTTCAGAATAAAGGACGAACGGATATGTCATAAATAGCTTTTGAGTGTCACATAAAGCTGCCGAAAAAAATTCATTTGGTTTCTTTTTCAGTGAGAAGGGGTGTTGCAAAGTGCCTTTAAGGAAAACTGCCCTCTCTTCACCATTTCTGTCAAAGGAGATATGCAACTTGTCTCACCACAAAGCTACAGATAACGTTCCTAAAAATATATCAAAAAGCAGAATAAGGACGCATGATCTGAAGAACTGGATGCAGTTGTATGTGCTCGTTGCTCTCTAGCATCCGGTCAAACACGCAGGTAACGGACCCCGAGCATATCACCAGAATTTACATACACAGATAAGGATGGTTCCTTCTAAGTCATCCTACAGTTACTCTAAGCCACAGAAGACATTCAGTAAGACATTTTTCGGAGGAACTGCTTTGTTTGTTTTGAATGTCCTATCAGGTACCTAATCGTCCCCTTTTAAGGATAAATTTAAATTTTAATCGCAGTCAAAGGCCATTTTGAGTTAAGTATGGTGAATAAGGCGGTCACTCAATTTAGATAATAAATTTACAGTAAAAAAAAAAGTGGTACAACTACAAAACAAATTATAACAACATTAATGGTTCTATAAGCTCTGAAGAAAACAATGCTGATCCCCCAAAGAAACTCTTGAATGTTTCAAAAACTCATTCAAACAACTGCACTGCCTTCCTAACAAACAACTAATTAGGAGTTTTGGTAAATAAATTTTAGCCTGTCGGTTAAAAACCAACCCAATGACTTGTAGTAGCATTCTACATATCGTAACTGTTTTTAAATGTGGAACTGCAAGATTTTTATTAAAAATTTTTTTTCCTTCCATTATAGTTTATTATAAGATATTGACTATAGTTCAATACAATTGGTCCTTGTTGTTTATCTATTTTATATACAGTAGTTTGTATCTGCTAATCCCAAATTCCTAATTTATCCCTCCCCCACTTCCTTTCCCCTTTGGTAACCATGAGTTTGTTTTCTCTGTTGGTGAGTCTGCTTCTGTTTCGCGAAGAAGTTCATTTATCTGTGGAATCTAAAATATGACCCAAATGGAACTACAGGGTTTTTAAAGCTGTGTTTCTAAATAGTTTAGATCAGCATTTAAAGTGGGTCATGAAACCGATTTAATGGTTGCAACCAACAGTAAAAATATCGAAGAGAAAATAGCAGAGTGCCTTATATGTAGTTGGCGTATTATTTTATAAAACTGTTTCAGCTACAGATGCTTAGTCAAGCTTTCATTATTCAGCAAAAATTTATTGAGCACCTATTACATGCTGCAGTAGGGCTCTAGATCAGGGTCTTACCACTGGTGAAATTTGGGGCCAGATAATCCTTTATTGTGTGTGCGTTTGGGGAGGAGTCTGTCCTGTGCCTTGCAGAATGTTTAGCAGCATCCTTGGTGTTAGGGGCTGAATTTTGTTCCGCCAGTTTCATATGTTGAAGTCCTAACCCCTAGTACCTCAGGATTCGACTGCCTTTGGAGGTGGGGCCTTTGAAGATGTAATTAAGTCAGAGTGAGGTCACTGGAATGGACTCTGATCCAATGTGACTGGCATCCTTTTAAGAAGAGGAGATTAAGACACAGACAGAAGGAAGACCATGGGAAGAGACAGGGAGAAAATGGACATTTACCAGTCAAGGACAGAGGCCTCAGAAGACACCAGTCTGCTGACACCCTGATCTTGGGCTTCTTAGCCCCGAGAACTGTGAGGAAATAACTTGCAGATGGTCAGACCACCAAGGCTGTGATGCTCTGTTATGACAGCCCCACCTGTTTTTTACCGACTAGATGACACTGGCACCCCTTCTTCAGTTATGACAGACAAAAATCTCTCCAGACACTGTTCAAAGTGCTCCAGGGCACAGAATCACCTCACCTGGGAACTACTGTTTTAGATGTAAATGGTTGTGCTAATGACAATATAAAAGTGAATTTCTTACCGTGTCCTCCTGTCAAGGTTTGAAGATCCCCAACGTTGCCGCCTGCCACAGCACTTTGGTACAGAGCTGTTGAGATACAGATGTGCCAAGAGATCACGCCTTCAGCCTGGGCAGCCTGGAGAGACGGAACCGACAGGTCTGTCACCTCTGCCCACAAACCAGTCGTGCCAAAGTTCTAGGCAAAGACAATTTTCATGTGTGCCGTTACGTGAGGGGGTTTGGGGACGCTGACAGACATCACTCCCTTCCCTGGGACAGATGAGCAGACAGTGCGCCAACTTAGTGGAATGATCACCGAGTTCCTGGTGGAGCTGGGAAGAAGAACTCAGGACTTCAGATCCCAACTCACAGATTTACCGTTATAATTTCGATTTGTAGAAACGTTGTTTCTTGAGGGGAAGAAGAATCAGAGAACATTTTACAGGGAGGGTGCCTGAACCTGTGTTCTCCAGAAAGCAAAGCTGAGGCCAAATGCGCATTGCTAGTGCTCTACTGGGGTGCATCATTCACAGACGGACAGTAAGGTGAGGGAAGGGCAGCGAGGAAGGTACAGGCGGGAAGCAAGAACAAAGTGACAGGTGACCACGCCGGCCACGGCGCCACCGGAACACACAGCTGTCTTCTTGGTCATGCAAGACCTGTCTTGAATGATCAGGAGACTCACTGCTCTTAGGAACAGTGTGTTGGGGGCTGGCTGGGAGAAGGAGGATGAGGGAAGTAGCTAGAGGCTTCTTCCTCTGTCTCTCTCCTGGCTCAAGGTTTGCTCCCCGGGCCACTAACTCCCAGGTCCTTCTAGGCGGTGGTCCTTAGCACTTCTGGGAAGCAACAATCACTTACTTAGTTCACGAATTTTGAGCTCAGTCAGCAATCAACAGAGAAGGCTCACATCTGTCCACGTTGCGTCAGCTGGGGCCGCTTCACTGGGGCTGGAGGAGCCACTTTCAGGAGGTGCCACTGCATGGCTGGCCAGTTGGTGCTGGCGGCCAGCCGAGAGCTCGGGCACGGCCAAGGGCAAGGAGCCCCCAGTCCTCTCCACGTGGGTCTCTCACCATGGTTGGGTGGATGGGTTCCTGTAACAAGCATCCCAAGAGATGGTAAATGGAGCTGCTTTTTTTTTTTTTAAGGACCCACAACCCGACACTGTGTATTCCATTGATGAAGTAACCACAAAGCCCCGATTAAACAGGAGAGGACACCGATTCTACTCCGTGATGAGAGAACTGTCAAAGAGTCTGGGGCCATGTTTCAAATGTCCACATCTTCAAATAACCACATGAGATGTATTTTCTATTAATACATCCCCGTCTTATAAACAAGGCAACTGACACAGATAGTACGTGATTTTTCCCAAAGTCATACAGCTTTTACATGTCATCTAAGACCTGAGCCCAGGTCTTTCTGTCTCCAAAGCCAGGCTCCCGTGACTCAGCTGTTCTGTCTCTTCTAGTGGTTAGTGCATAAAAACTCTACGTCTTTCATAACCGATAGCCAGGATTTGCTGCTTTACCCAAAAGACAAAGGAGTTCCATACACTGAGAAAAATATGTGCAAGGATTTGATCTGATAGTGAGCAGACGGAAAGGTGAAGGAGCTCAGTAATCGGTGGGAGACACAGGGAAAGATTAGCAGATACGTGATCAGCATGATGCTTGAATTTAAGCAAAATAATGAGAGAAAGTCACTCTTGACTTATTAACCTCTGAAAAGGCTATTCCAGATAGAGACGCACATGTCCCTTAAGCAGGCAGTGAAATTCTTTGAGCCTTTAAGAGGAAAAGTGCTCGAAGTGAAAAGTAATTTTATCGTAAGCCGAGACAACCCCTATCAGCCCATAGCAGGAGTATGTGTGGTTTTTTTCTCTTACGTCTCCAGAATTGAATACTAAATAGGGTCTAGTATTTTTTCGGTGACGTTAGATGTAAATGGTACTTGGATATTCAACATGAAACTCAGTCCTACCATTTGCTCCCTAATACAAAATATAAAAATGTTTAAAATTCAGTCGAGTGCAAGACATAGCATTGGCTTGTTGACAGAACAAATTTTTTTTTTAGAAGGAAAACACAGGAGCCCTTCAGATTCATAGACATCATCTAAATGTGTTTTCAAGTGCTCAGGGTAGAGTGGTAATGTGGTTTCCAACGATTCTTTAACTTTGAAATATATGCTTTCTGTTTAAAAAAACAACTCTTTAATCCTAAGAAACAACGTAAGGACTGTTTTTTTCAGTCCGCCATAAAAATCTTGGCTTCCACACTGGTCATGTGGAGAAAAGGACAATGTATTTGATCACCAGAATTTCACACTCCATCTGCACTGCTGGGATAATGTCTGTTGCATTCACTCTTGTAACCCCAATACCTAGCACCGTGCTTGTGTGAGGAGACAGGTGTTGAATATATGAGACGTTCCAGTTGTTTCAAGAAATAACATTTAGTCATAGTCCAGGTCCACTGAATGCATTTAAATCAGGTTCACCGATATTTAAAAATACCTTTTACCTTGCTTCCCTTAATAGCTACAGAGCAGCAGGCACATTAGAGACCGTCTCTTCTAAACTCTTGTTACATATGAAGAAATCGAGTCTAGAACCACAGAATCTAGCCAGCCTGGCCAAAGTTCGCGGATGCTGCAGAGATTCAACCCAGGCAGCTTCCCCATCCACGTGCACAACAACTTTGTCATCCTTATTATTAAAATGCAAGGTAAGCATGGCTACCCCTTACCACAGCAGACATGTGCCCGTGTTCCCCCAAGTGCGGTTTGGCTTGGAAAAGAGGAGAACTTGTCACATAAACGAATTCAAGCACTTGTGATTTCTTTTTCTTTTAGCACCATTGGCCTTATTATTATTTTCACTATCTTTACATTGCGTCTTTTTTTCCGGTGCTCCATTGAAATGTGGAAAACATCAGGTGTCTGTTGTGTTTATTACCAGAGTGCCTAGCACCTGGTGGGTTAATAGGAAGAAAACAAAAATAAAGTTGTGTTGTCACAGCATCCTCATGAGTCTCGCCTGCTCCATAAACCAGCCACCTCTGTGGAGGCTGGCTTCACCAACTGCTCACGAGGCACCAGGCCTAGGAACCACGCAGATGGTTTCACTGCTTTTAAAACCAGTAGGAAAAAAAATAAGCACTATCAAGATTGGATTATATTCATCCTTATAACAACAGAGGCATAAACCATTAATGTTCTTGTAGGGAAAGCATTCCTGAAAATCACACCGTGGCCCCGGGCTCTCCTGGGGCGCTCTAAGAACTGATGATTCTCTCACAGAAGTGCGCCGAGCTCACTGAAAACCATAGATCGATGTGTGTCCCCAGCAGTTAGAAAGTGAGGTGACATCTGGCTCCCTTCTGAGAAAACTCAGGGTGGAGAAGTCAAAGCCAGTGGTGGAACCTGTGGGTGACCTGCTTTCTCAAACTTTGTTGGGGAAAAGGATTCCTCAGTTTTTCCCAAGGACCACTCAGCGGGCCGCACGTAGCAGAGCCATCATAGGGATTTCCCAGAGTGTTAGCAGGGCCCCAACAAAAGGGCACCTGATGGGGCTGCCTGGTTCTAAGCAGGTGTAGGAGAACGTGAGCAGCTGAGACAGGGGTACTTGCCTCAGGTGAAGGGGGACCAGGTGAGTGGTCCCCAACAGTGGGGGAGTGGGAGTGTCATTCTGAAGGAGAGAAAAATCTCTCAGGCTGAGGGAGGATGAATCCAACTTCCAAAAATGTCAACCAAGAGCTTTCCTGCCCCACTGACCCCTGTTCGTTTCTGTCAGAGAGCTGTTAACAAGGGGGAGAGGAGGGGCAGGGAAAGGAGGACGCGAACCCCACCATCCTCCACGGCGCGCACGGAGGCTTCCTGCCGCATTACGTCCTGGCCGGGGCGCCGGAGCAGAGGTACCTTGTACTCAGTTTTGCCACTTTGATTATTAAATGGGATTGGGAATTCCACATTTCAGAATCAAGACAATCTTAAGTGACCGTCTAACATTTTAGTAAGAGAGTAAGTAACCCAGTCATGCCGGAGGTGTGTTGCAGGGGCATGAGGGAACTCGCCCCCTCCCATCGAATACATTTTAAAGGGGTCATGGGAAACAAAACGACGCAAAAACGGCAATTTGCTCAGTACCCTCCACTTCAGCAAGAATATTCTGAAACAGTTAATAACTTCAGAAGTGGTTTCACAGATTCAGATCTCCTGTCACTGGAACGAATATTCATTATTTCACACTGTGGGGTAATTGTTCTTCACGTAAACAAACAGGTAAAATGGGCACAGAATTTAACTCGTGATTTTATACGCCAAGTCGTAAGTGAGGCGAAAGAGTCCCCAGAGAGCCTCTATAAAAAAAAGAAGGTGCTGGTCAGTGATGACACACATCCCGGCAGCAAAGGGAGAGCCCTGGGCGATGCTGAGCAAATCCCCGTTTCCCGCTGCGGGCTGCCCGTCAAGTCAACCAAGCCGTTCTCCCCGCACACAAGGCACGTGCTTGACTGACATCATTTCTGTTTATACAAAAATATTCATGGAAAATATGGAACATTCTCAAAATTTAGAGAACTTAATTTCAAACCTGTTTTCATATGGGGGAGCTGAACGGAACTGTTTAGCACTCAAAGTGAATGTCCCAATTGCACTATTTTTTGAAATCTCTTCACTGTGTCAATCCCAGAAATCTCTTTCAACTTCTAGGTAATTTTACTGGTGTGAACTATGTATGAAAAGATCTTTAAAATAGCTTTAATAATAATAAACGACTGAGAATCCATTTATATATTTAAGAATCCCGTATTAGCTATTCCTAATTATAACATAAGCATAAACTATATTTTCCTAATAATATAAAGATATGACTTGCTTATGAATAAGGAAATTAACTAATGATGGATTTTCCTCACAAACGCTTGACCACAGAAAGGTAAGCATGCGGGTTGAAGTTGAAATTAATGCTCAAACCACTGCTTTTCAAATAGGGAAAGCCCATCTTATACTTTATGTAACAGCCATTCCTTTACGGCTCATTTAAATTTAAATAATTTATATGATCATTATTATTTAAATTATTATTTTATTTTAAATATTTAAATTATTTTAAATATTTTTTTCTAATGACCATTTCTCAGATACAAAGGAATTTTAAAATATTTGCTGATGGAAACACTGCTAGATAAGCCTTTGGTAGCGACCTTCTTGAGTAAAAATACTCACCTATTGCTCCCACAGACCTGAGAGTCTAAGCCCATCCCCTCTCATTCAATACCATCCCGTTCAAACCCAGTTTGTAGCATTCTACATGTATTGCCTACATAATAGATGCCAGATACTGAGTTTAGCAATGAATGGGTTACAGATTTGAGTAACCCATATCTTCTATCTTTAAGGAGATTGTTTATTCATCCAACAAACATTTGCTGTGAGCCTATGATGTGTCAGGACTCCTGTGGGAGGTGGAGATACAGTTTTCAGAGAGGCAGCCAAGGTTCTGCCCATGTGGGGAGTTTACACAGTATAATGAGAAGGGAAAAACTGAAAAAGTAAATTTAAGTATAATTGTTACACAGAGGTACAGGATGTTATGAGAGCACGTGACCAGGGCTTCTAACTTAGTCTAGAACATTAGCCTTCTATGTTGACAGCAGACACTACATTTAAATAATTAAAATAAATCTAGAGAATTATAAGGGCTGAAAGAAACATTTTCCAAGTACAAGGAACACTGGAATCAGAGTGACCAGTTCTAATTGGCATATGACTGAGAATGGTGGAAGTCCGGAAGCCTTCCTAGAGTAGATGCCATCTGAACAGAGCAACGGAAGACATTTTGTTAGGGCACAGTTTAAGGCAATCTAACAAACTCAAAATGTGATGGCATGAACAAAGTGTCACCTTGTAACACATCAGAGGTCAGATGACTCTATTATCCTCTGACATGACTTTCATCTTTGGCTCCAAGGTGGCTGCTCCTGCTCCTGTCATCACATATGGATCCCAGCCAGCAAGAGAGAAAGGAAGTAGACTGGTATGAAATGACAAGGAAAAGTAACCATAATAAAATGTAAAGTGAAAAAAGGTAGGCTGTCTAATAATCTATAAGGTATGATCTCATTTCTGTAAAATATAGCACATAGACTATTTGAAATATAAAATAATATGTGTATATTATATTTGGGGTCTATATAAACACACATATATAATATATGCATATATATATACACACACACATGCACATCTATCTCTATACAGGAAATTACGTATTCCCCTGGGCAATGGAAATAGGAGGTATAAAAGAGGAACCTCTACCATAAATAGTTCTATATCATTTGAAATTTTATATGTATTATTCTTAAAAGGTGTGTAAAATAAAAAGAAGAAAGGCTACCAGAAGTGTTAACATGCTTCTATTTCTCCCAATAAACCCCCCATAAAAACAAACACCTACAACTTACACATTAAACTCCAAAATATTACCTTTAATCAATCTTTATATAGAGATAAAAGCCATGCGGAGAAAATTACATTTTTCTCTCGGTTAATTTCAAAGTCATTTTAAAGAAGAAGAAATTCAACGTTCATTTCATTAAATGAAGAATTTCATAAACATGCTCCATTTCTTATTCTAACCTTGAGCTTAAATAGGTTCCTGACTCGAGAAATAATAGCACTAAGTAGTGATCAACAATTTTTTTTAAACTTCAGGATGTCAACCTAAGATTGCTACATCTATCATATTTCTAAATTAAGACTTTGTTTTTTTAAGAACAGTTTTAGGTTCACAGGACAGCAGGCACAGAAATTTCTCATATACTCCCTGCCCCTCTGTACACACAGAGCCTCCCCCACTATCGACTCCCACTGCCTGAGTGGTACAATGTTCACAACTGATGAAGCTATACTGACATATAATCACTCAAAGTCCACAGTTTGCATTATGTTCACTCTTAGTGCTTTATATTATGTGGGTTTGGAAAAATGTATAATAACATGGATCCATCATTATGGTATCATTCAGCATATTTTCACTGCCTTGAAAATCCTCTGTGTGTGGCTTACTCGTCCCTCCCGCCACCCTAACCTCTGGAAATTACTATTGCTTTTACTGTCTCCATAGCTTTGCCTTTTCCAGAGTGTCACATAGCTGGAATCATACAGCTTGCAGCCTTTTCAGATCAGCTTCCAGTGTTTAAATATACATTTAAGGTTCCTCCATATCTTGTCATGAATTAATAGCTCAATTAATGTTTTAATCAGGCGTGTTCCTCACCTCATTAGTAACTGATGTCCTATAACACTAAGGTAAAACAAGATGTCCTTTGGATATCTCGAAAATAAATGAGAACAAGTGTTTTTCTTAAGAACAAACGATGTTCCAAAAATCATTAGCAGAAGACTAAAACTAAAGGACATGCAAAGATTGAGAATGTGGAATACAGAGGAGTAACTTAACCAAGGAAGTAAAAGACTTCTACGGTGGAGGTTATAAAACACTGAGGAAAGAAATCAAAGAAGACAGAAATAAATGGAAAGATACCCATGTTCGTGGATTAATAAGGGTACTTATTAATATATATATATACTTAATAAGGGTAAAAACGTCCACAGCACACAAAGCAATCAATCCACAACCAAGGCACTCCCTTTCAAAGTTCCAATAGCATTTTTCACAGAAATAGAAAAAAATCTTAAAATTCATATGGAACCACTAAGACCTTAAATATCAAAACAATCTTAAAGAAGAACCAAACTGAAGGTATCACGCTTCCTGATTTTAAAATACATTATAAAGTTACAGCGGTTAGAACAGTTGTTGCCCACACAGACCCATGGAACAGAAAGCCCGGAAGTACACACAGGCATGCATGTTTAACTGAAAGGAACACATAATCGGCAAAACACAGCCTCATCATCAAATGGTGTTGGGGACGCTGGACATCCACGTGTTCTTACCACACCTTAAAAGGAAAAAAAAAGATGAGAATGTGGGTGATCAATTCCCTAACTTTAATTAGGTAATCAGGGTTGGTAACTGAATAAAAGAAGTCTCATCAGTATCTCCAATTTCCAGCTACGATCTGAGAGATGAATCTTTCATACTTTGGATAACAAGAAGGTAGAAAGTTAGTTCACACTCTCAAGAATTACTGGCCTCAAACGTGGCTTCACTTCCACTTAGTTGTATGAGCCTGGTCAAGAGATTCATCTGTCCATGCTTCAGTTTCATTATTTGTGAAATACGGATAATAATGAATTCACAGTGTTATAAGGGGCTTATCATAGTACACACATAGAGCACATTCTCTTTTTTCTAAATTCATTTATTTTATTTATTTATTTTTTGTTGGGGAGAGGTAATTTGGTTTACTTATCCTTAGAGGAGGTACTGGGGATTGAACCCAGCACCTTGTGCATGCTAAGCATATGCTCTACTACTTGAGCTATACCTTCCCCTCTAGCAAGTTTTTAACAGAAGTAACTTAAATGGTGCTGCTGCTCCTGACCAAGGTGTGGGGACAGGATTCTTTCATTTTCCGTCTCCTCTCCCTCTCTGCCTGTCTGTCTCTCTCTCGTCCTTTTTTTTTTTTTTCCCTTCCTTCCTTCCTTCTCTTTTTTTTAGTGTTTTCTTAAACCTGCCTTCTATTTCTGGCAAAGAGCCTATGTAATTGTACCTTTCTTCTGGGTATTATTTGCCAAGCAGGTGTAAAAGTGCAGTGCAATATAATTTAGTAAAACCTAATTTTAGGTACTGGATTGTGTTTCTCTCTGTGTGAGTGGATCCACCAGGTCCTCACACAGTTGTCAAGCACCTTGGCCAACACGACCATGAAATATCAAAGAAGTCAACTTTCTAATGTCTCATATTTAACTTTTTTTTTTAACTTAAAGGTTTAGATTTGGAAGGAATAAATAAATGTGTTCTCACATTTGCTGAAGAGGGTAGGGTTTTCTTTTGCCTCATTTAGAGCAGATGCAGAAGCCATTCTGTGATACTGAAACACAAGGTCTAAAGACCATCTGGAGAATTTGCTAAAATGAAAAGGATCCAGTACAATTTGGATCACATACTTTTATTAAAGATGGGAGACGATCCATCTGATCATTCCTATCTTCATCATCTGTAAGTTTTCACATATAAATATTTCTTAAAACATGAATAAAATTATTAGAGAGTGCAAATACTGCCAAGAAAAAATATTTGTAAGAAAAATCATAAAATCCCTGCCAAAGCTCTACTTATTAAACATCAAAGAAAAAAAATCATCATAAAAAAATTTCATACTGAATTGTAATTTTTTTAGGAAGGGTATCAGTCAGCAAGAGTCCCCCTAAAAATCTATTGAATGACCCAATATTCTTACCATCCAAAAAGAGAGAAGAATTTTGAGGAAAAAGAAATAAGAATTCTGAAAAGTAGGGAAATGGAAGAAAATGAATGATTTTTTTAAAGCGTTCATTGTAAGCAGTGGTTGTGTGATAAACCACTTGGGGGTGCACATGTCACAGACCATCCCCATACCACTCGGGCAGGTCATATTTCTCGGCCTTTTAGTAGCTTTCTGTATTTGATTCGTCTGAGGGCTTACCTTGCGCTAACTCAATTATTCCTTCTTACAAAATGATGTGGGTGGTATAGTTATTCACCCCATTTTACAGATGAGGCAACTGAGTGACAAGAGTTTAAGTGACTTACTTGCTCAAGGTCACACAGCTAGAAAGTGACTGAGCCAGAATATGATGAACTCCATCAACCTGATTCCAGAACTTGTGCCATCACCGCTTATGCTGGACTCTTTCCTAGGGAAGAAAAGTTTAGGCAAGATGTGTCCATTCCGCGGGCTTCATTTACCTCATTCAGAAATGGCAGTGGGTGCCATGTGAGTAACTCAGTGCTGCTGTGATCAATGTGTCTGTGAAAACAGGCGAGTGATCCAAGGAGAACGTCAAAAATGATGAGCATTTTGGAAAACACAGCTAATGAAGAAAGACAAAAATCATCAGAATGATTGAGCCTTTTGAAGAGGGAGGGTAATTTTGTAACTGTGCTCATGGAAAAACAGTAGCAGCAGGCATAGTAGTAGCAGTAGACAGTGGTGACCATCTTCAGCTGATTTCTCCAGAGAAATTTTGTTTATGTTTCAGCAGGAAAAATATTTTTGCCTAAAGCTGGTGACATTTTCAAATTTGCAATGGAAACGGCGTATCATCTTTTCCTTGGAAAGTTTTGAGGGTAGGAGAAAAATCATGACTCTGCTGTTTACTACCCATAAAAGCTTAGCTGAGACTTTTCGTTTCTTTGAGCTTGTGTTTTCTTGTCTGCACAAGGGGAGAAACTGTAGCGCATACTTAGATGGTTAATGAGGCCACTAAGCCAGTTTTGCCTCCAGGGGCACTTAGCATTCTGGCCAGCATCTACTTACTACTTCCTACATTGCAAACGTCATTTTATGATGACTGTTACTACTATTATCCGCTGGGGTCAAGGAAGAATCCTTTGACACGAGCGTTGGTCCTGCAATGTGCATGTATTAAAGGCTGGTCATATTTACACAGATACCTTTTGTTTAAAAGAAAACTGGAAATAGAAATAGCAAAAGCACATGGTGATGTGAGTTTACAGTGGCCAACCACACTTGAAATTTTATATCACTTCTGATTATTAGTTAAGAGCGGTCCTATTTGAATGCTAAAAACTCCATAGGAAGCCTATGGAATCTTATTTTGTGATGAAGTTGTAAACCAAACAAACACATACACATCCTTACATGTTTTATTGCAGCCATTTAAGACTGAAATATAAGACGGCTTTACTTGATCATTAGGTTGAGAGATAATGCTATATTTATTGTAAAATCAGAGTTCTTGAAAATGTTTCCAGCCCATCTCCTGTCCCGTGTACCAGTGGCCCCATGCAAACCAAACACACAAACAAATATTAATAGACATGCTATTTATTGGTCTCTGCTGTCACCCTCGCTAGTCAGGAGAAGATTTGGAAAGATAAGGTTAGTAGCACGAGGAGAGAGTAAAATATATAGCATTTTGAATGACTTCCACTTATTACTTATTTCTAGCATTCCAAATATCACAACATATGGGTAGTATTTCCTCCTGTATTAAGTTGCTGTGGATAAAATTATAAATTACTTTTTTGTTTTTTTGCCGCAAGGGACATAGGAAGATGAAACCCAGGTATGTCGTTCCCTGAGAATGAGATTTAATTTGCCTGAATAATGCAAGTCCATCTACAGCAGCTTGATACCTTGTTTTCTTGTAGTTCTGATTCAAGACGAACCCTCTTTGAGATTCAGAATGGCTTTTTGAATTTTGTTGATTGGTTTGTTTGGTCTAATTTGGAACTTGACTAAATTGGGCTTATAGTATATCCCACTACCAGGTAAGCTCTGTGAAGGCAGGAATTTTGTCAAGCTGTTTACAATACCTAGAACAATACTGACACATAACAGGCAGGCGGTCCTTACTTGTCAAATGAGTAAGTCAAGGCTTCTCAACTTTGGCAACTATTCACATTTTCCGAATGACTCTTTGCTGTAGGCAGCTGTCTTCAGCATCATCGGAGGTTGAACAGCATCCTTGGCCTCTACCCTCCAGGTGCCAGTAGCACCACACCCTTCCCCCCACCAACTTCCCAGCTGTGACAACTTAAAATGTCTCCAAATATTGTCAAAGGTCTCCTTGGGGGAGGGAAGAGCCCACACTACCCTTTATTGAGAACCACTGCAGTAAACCTATTGCCTTGGCATGTCAAAGGAAATCTTTGTAAGTTCCCGACCGAAAAACGAAAGAAGAATTTGGAAGCCCTTTGATTTACATGATCAATATAGGCTGCCCAAATGGATCATTTATGCCCCACCAAAGCTAACCCGACTGTTGAGCCCCAGCAATAGACTTGGTACAGAAGAGGGAAATTATCTTTTGTCACGATGGGGCAGAAGAGATGGGGTCACCGTCAGCTACTGAGAGTAATATTGTGGCAGAGTCGTATCATCCCTCCTACCTCTCCCATCCTGGTTCTTTAAGAAACCCAATGTTATTTCCAGGTCTGCATGCAGAGGTTCTAGCCCCAAAGTCTACAAGTATTTAACGTTGCAAATGGGATGTGGAACTCTGGGTTATTTTGGTGATGCAGCTGCTGGCGGCTCATACATTTCTGGAACGTGAAAAGCATCCTCTGACAATGTGTAATTGTTGTCTGAGCGACCACATTGCCATTTGCCACAATTCTGGCTTCCTTCCTTCCTTCACATGGTGCTTGCAGGACTTGGAAAATCTGCCGCCATATTAGCAAGGAGGAATGTTGAGTGTGAAGAGAGGCCTGGGGGAATAGGCTCAGTAATCACACTTGGTCTGCGCCAAGTTCTCAGCTCAAATGAAACGCAAGTGGGTGGCGTTTTAAATAAGTCAATCTCTCTGTCTAAAAAGATACAAATGTTTAGATGACCTTGGACAAGTTACTTACCCTTTCAAACCTGAATATACTACCTGAAAGGGAGGGGATGATGGTGAGGCCCCAATGATGTATTTGAAGCACTTAGCACAGTGCCTGGCAGGTAGCGAGAGATGCACTGGGATATGCTATCATGATAATTATCATCATTATTAAACATTTGCAGGAAGTGTTATACCTCACAAGCTAGTTGACTATGATGGAAAGAACAAGGATGCGAAGACAATGAAATCATACAGACTCAGAGAGGAATCTTGGTTCGGCTACTTACCAGCCATGTGAACTCTTGGATCAATCAGCCTAGGTTATGCTGTGCGGTAGTAATAAAAGACTCCAACATCGCAGTTGCTTATAACTCCAAATGCATTTCTTGTTCAGAACAGTGTCCATCAAGGTCCAGATGCAGCTCTGCTCTATATCAATCTTATGCCAGGACCCAGGCTGTCGGAGGAGCCCCTGTGAGGTAACATTGTATTCATCATGGTAGAAAGAAATAAGCAATATGGCAAATCACGAAGGGGCTCTTAAAACCTCTGCCCAGAAATGCACTCATCACTGGCCAACGCTAGTAACATAGCAACTCCCCAGTTCAAAAGGACAAGGATATATAGTGGAGAAGCACTGCACAGAGTGGCAAGACGGTGCTATAATCAACCACACCTTTAATGTGAGCCTCTGAGCCTTCATCTGTTTCTGTAGAGGTGTGAGCAGTCAGAAAATTTAACCAGTACACTTGGAGAAATTATGATGTGACTCTGCCCAAGATATATTTTCTACAAAATCTCATCGAGTCTTCATAACCACCAGCTAAACTGGTATCGTTTGGCTCCATTTTACAGGTTAAAAAAACCCTGAGGTCTTGAAGGGGCTAAGTGACTTCACACATAAAATCATATACAAAAAATTGCAAGACACACACTAAGCACTTGTAGTTGCATAATAGCTTATTTTTGAAACAACTTGTTTCTGATTGTTTTAGATTCTCTCTGCATGTAGGAAGCGCAGTAGGAGCAAAGCTGGCTGGCTGCAGATGGTCCAACTAGCCCTCTGGAGTTCTGACTCACTAACTTGCTAGCTTTTCTCCAGCAAAATCCATGGGCAGTGGGCATCTACACTGAACCCTCTTTCTTACCCAGTTTTGGCTGCCTCCTCTTCTCAGACTCCAAAACTATTCATTTCCATCTTTCTCCCCAACTCCTGAATATTAGTTACTGCCCTTCCACCGCCAACACACACACACAAACCCCAAACCTTTTTGGCAAATCTTTGTAGTAAACAGATGGGCTATCTGTGTTGCTGGGAGACCACTTCATACGTGGAATCCAGTCCAAAGGGAGTGAGAAGTAAGGGGATGTATCAGCTACATGGTCTAATGGCTAGGAGCGCTGAGAACTCCTCCTCCTCCTCCTCCTTTTCTGACTTTTTTGATGACGCCTCTGCTCTTCCCCTTTCATGGCCCCAATTCGCTCATCTCTAAGGCAAGAATAATAGTACAACAGCTCATGGGGGTTTTGTGAATATTTAATGAAGTAATGTTATAAAGCCCTTAACAACAATTTCTGACTCCTGGGAGGAACTCCATTGTTTTGTTGTTCTTGCTGTTGTTGTTTATGACTTTTGGCAAGGTCAGCCGACTAAGAGAGGAAGAGAGTATGAGCTGGGGTTGGGGTAGAGCGCTCAGTTCTACTTATGACGGATTCGGGTAGCTTCATTTACGGGTTGCATCGTAGGCAAAGGATCTCAGGAGAAACAGCGAGAGTTTTAAAGGGACTTGAAATCCAACCCCTGTTAAGCCACCCCGGGAACTGACTTACCTTGGCTAATTCAGCCTCACTAGGCTATTTTCTGCTTTTGAAATGGGCCTCGTGGTTCGCGCCTGACCTCACACAGTGGCCACGTGGCTCACCTGCCGGGCACACTGTCCCGCACTTTGAGGATGGCGGTCTTTCCCCTCTCGCCTCCGGCCCGTTCGCTCCCTCTGACCTGACCCTCTGCCGACCCCGAGGGGACGGGCAGTGTCCGTCCCGTCCCTTGATGTGCCCCAGCACCTGGGCGCTGCCTGGCCACACGCAGGGCCTTCCGCGAGGGCTCGGGGGCAGGGCCACGCCAGCAGCCTCTCTCCGGCGTCC